AATCAACCATCGTTCTGTATCTACAAAATGGTCGACGGGGGAGACCCTATGCATGTACTGTATTGTTTAGGTAAAATCAATGTTATTCTATGGGACATGTAAATTTTTGTCATTTTTATAATTGCATTTAAATATCTCTTAAACTAATTGAGATATTTAATTTTTGTTGATTGCAAAAAACATTTGAATTACTTGAAATACTGATTACCGAAATTCATCTCAATACGATAATCAGATCAAATGCAGTAAAATAACAAATTTGGTTCGATTTGCGTGAGACCCCCTAATAGTTCACTGGATTAAAAGGAAGCGTTAGATTTTTATGAGAAGAGCATCTATTCAATTGAACATGAGCAATTAACATGAAAACACGATTCAAGAAGTTTCTTTTTGCTAAATCTTCAAAAACTGAAGCCTTTTACTTTTGAAAAATTAGTTTACAAATGAATGAATCCGAATTTGAAAATTGTACTTTCAATAATTAGTCTGAATGAAGCAAAGATAAAGCTTCATGAATTTTCTGGCTAAACCCAATTTCTGATAAAATTAAAGTTTGGTTCCGATTTAGCTCGTATGATTGATCTGATTGCAGTACCAACACTGACTTGTGAGTTACTGAAGCAAAGATATTGATTAAACAATGAGAAATTAATTCACTAATGGATTGATTGCTAAATGGATAAAAAGTGAATAAAGTTGAGTAAAAAAGCAAATCCTCTGACTAAAGACTTGATAGAGTCTGCAACAAAAATGACATGAAACCATCAACAGCTAAATTGTAACATTAATATGGATAATTATCTGCATTTAAAATCGTCAATTAACAGCAAGAAAATAAAATTAGATATCATATGTCTCATGGGAATGGCAATAGTTCAACAATTTGCATGTTAAATTGTGCTGATTCAAGTTGATTGTTGACACGCAGTGGTAAACATTCAAGAGTAACTTGACTTTTATCCCAATAAGGTTACATACACTGGTTAACATATGTTAACACATTTTTAATTAAATCACTATAACCACCACAGCTAATGACGTTATAGGTAACAAAATTACACAATTAATTTAAGTATAAATTAATGTAAAATAATGAAAATAAAAAACAAACACAAGTGGACAAGCGAAGTGGACAAGCGAAGTGAAAACGTGAATAAAGCGCCTTCTAGAAACAAGCCATTTCACAGCTTTACCAGATTTCCAGCTTCTTAGCTTTTCGGCTGATTGCACAGTATTTATTAATTTTACATAATAATTCTATTATTGGGTATTTATTGATTAAGATATTTGCTTTCAATTTAATTACAAGTTAGACCTAATTTTAGCTTCTTTTATTGGCTATTGGTCATCTCAAGATAGTACCGGGCGTTTTTTTCTCATTTTACGCCTTCATGCAAGCATAACTCACGAACAGTTAGTGCTACAGACTTCAGATTTAAAACATAAGCTTATCTAGATTGCACAACGATAAGTTCAAGTGCTCAAGGTTATTCAAGGTCAATTCTTTATTTGACCTCTAATTGACATTGAAAGGTCATTTTCTGAAATCGCAAAATTTTTCTTCTCCGATAGTGTTAGTTACATGTTCATAACTCATACTGACTAAAGGAACGGGAGATTCCATAACAT